ATTGAAGTTATTTTCACTTCCGAAGTATTCAAGAACTGATTAAAATGGTTAAGTAGATGTATGGTTATGCCATCGATCCTGAGCTACTTTGCTTCAAATGTAACAAAATCATGCGTTTGAATTCATTCATCGTAATTTTTTATCATTCAAGGGTCCTCAAATACAGTTTGATAGAGTTGGTTTGCTTGTATTTGAAGTGTTTATTACTACATTTGCAAATAGTTTGACAGGGTGCATTTGGTGAATTCCCATTCTTCTTGTTGATCAGTTTTGCTCATTATCAATTTACGACTTCTCACTGTTGAGGGGGCGTAGCTTTTCTTGATCAAATCAGGAAGACTACGGCCATGAATGAGATGCTCATAAAAAGCGTAGGAATAGATGGAACACTTATGGATATCGCTGCTTTCTTATATTTCGTAGAGAAGAATCTGTTCTCAAATTCGAAATTGATAGGTATTATTGGCATGTGCGATCGATGAATATATTTTAACTGATAAATTTGTTTGTATGTCTGTTAACATCTAAATCGCGATTAGAATTTAAGACCAAGAATATCTTTAGCGATATGGTATGTGCTGCTTGATATAATTTTTGATCAATAAATTCAGCTTAATAACTCTTGATGTTGTAATTAATTAAAAAGTATTTGAAAGAGGGTATGACCAAATTAAGAGAAATGGTCAATGCGCAAAAATAATCTTATACGAATAGTAAAAGATTTTCGGTATTATTTAGAACTTCGGAAAAAAGTTAAAAATTTAGTACTTTAGATCAGATCTTCAGCCAGGTACTTTGATTAATGTGGGGAAGAAGGAATTTGGTCGATGTGATTAGAAAATGAATAATGGATATGTTGCTTAGACAACTAATTGTTTATTGTTACTCATTTATGAGAAGTATTAAATATTTTTTGCAACTGAATTTGTTCCAAGTAGGGATTGCTCAGAAAGATGAACTTATTATGCTCTTTAGCACAGGTGTCATGGCAAGGAACAAATGCTACATATCTCATTTTGTACAGTAATTATAGCTTAATCAAATCAATTATTCGTATTATTTTCGGAAATACCAATTTTACTAATCTAATTCAATAGTGGTAGGTGATACTGCTAGGATAGATAAGAGATCAATTAGCAGCAGTAAGGAAAAAGAAGTAGAGTTGTGTTTAGGTCATTCACTCCACCACTTTGATTTAATTTCGATAAGTGCAATAAGTTTATGCCGTCATAATTAAGCAACCTAGATCTAAGTAGGATTATTACATAACGAGAAAGTTAAATTTTGAAGAGAGCAAAATTTGCATATGGTAAAAAATATTAAGACAAGCCCTATATAAATAAGTAATTGTAGTCACAGTCATCAGTTCTTCCTTGTATAGTTGCAAGCGGTCGTTCGAACACTTGACCAACTATATTTTCTACATTTTCAACGAGCAGTCAAATCAATAAGACTATTTTTTCTCCGGCATATTTACTGAGCCTTTCATGTAAATCCAAATTTTACAGAAGGATAGTAAAGAGTAGCAATGGATTTCGAAGGTATTACAAACGTTACAAACGTGTGGGTACCAGATGATTCAAATGGATTCACTTTATGCCAAATTGTTGATATCAACTGTGAATGTCTTATACTAAGACGATTACATGAATCAAAAACAGTAAAGTTTTTCTATCAAGTAGGAAAATTTTTTTCTGAAGATAAGCAAATATTTATTTGCCATATATTTTTAGTTTCGAGCATATTACGATACAATTTTTCCAGCTGAAGAGGATGTCACTCGTGACGTAGACGATAACTGTAAGTGCTTTTTCGTGAATTATGAATTTAACTTAGAAGATAAATAAATATTCAACAATGTTTCTTTCCACTTCCTGTTTACATTAATGTTGATAATGATTATTGATGCAATGGATTAAGATGAGATATCTTAAATTATCAGCAAGCCACGTTTTTCATGACAACAATTATCAATGACTTTTCCAAAAATTATTTTTTCAGGTTCTCTGACATATCTAAATGATGCTTCTGTTTTGCACAATTGCCGTCTGCGATATAATCGAGAACAGTTTTACGTAAGTAACTAAAAATGTTGTAATTTATTTTTGTCAAACGATTTATTATTCATTTATAACGATTCTGGTAGAACTTGTTGTTTCCTATTAATGCTCAGTTTTACTCAAAAGATATTTTTACAATAAAATGACATCACTTTTATCTGAGTTGCAATTTACAAATCAAAATTATTTTCAAAATTAGATGTTCATATAATTGTTAGATATAAAGGTTTTTGATAAGCAAAAACATCACAAATCATTTGTTTTTAATTTTTATGGTATTGCACTACAAATTTTTAAAAAGTTTCTTTGCAGACTTACGTTGCAAATATTCTCATTGTAATTAATCCATATAAACAAATCCCTGGATTATATAATGCTAGTATGATTATGAGATACAAAAAACAATCCTTGGGAACCTTACCTCCACATATTTTTGCAATTGGTAATTTCTGTTGATGCTAATTTTTGCACTAAAATAAATTTTTGTTTAAGAGAACAAATTAATCCAACTTTTGCACCAGATGGTAAAGTATTTCATACATTTCGAAATTCTTTTCTTACCAGCTATAAAGTGTTTGAGCCATCTTAAAGGCTAAAGTTCACACTAACAGCTAAAAAATATTTGAAGCGGATAAAGCTTATCGTGATATGAGACGCCATCACGAATCCCAATCAATTATAATATCTGGAGAATCGGGAGCTGGCAAAACTGAATCTCAGAAGCATATAATTCGATTTTTATGCGAATCATGGGGTTATTTAGTAGGAAAAATTGAGCATCGCATTTTACAAAGTAAGTCTTTTTAATAAATTCTGAGTAATATTGCCTTAGCGATTAATATAAATTTGAGAAAAAAAAGACTCTGATATTGCATTTTGAAGCACAATACGTATTACTTTAGGAATTTTAGAAATTATATTTAGTTGGAATAATAAGTGCATAAATTATCTTTAATTGGTAAAGCTGTAAATTATTCCTAAATTGATATCGCTTTGCGCGGTCATGAATTGAAGATATCAAGACAATATTATTATACAGTCTTGCAAATACACTGAATTAATTAAATATAATATAATCAGTAATGCAATACTTCATTGTAAGATTTGCTTCTGACTAAGAATTACTGTACGCTAAATTTAGTTAGCACGATTTTGGAATCATTCGGAAATGCAAAAACGACCCGCAACAACAATAGCAGTCGATTTGGCAAATTTGTGGAAATACATTTTAATAAAGAGGTGAAAAATATTAGTTTTTGTGCTGTGATTATCACTGTTGATTATAAAATTATCATTGCTGATTTTACAGGGATCCATTGTTGGCGGATTTGTTACACATTACTTATTAGAACGTTCAAGGCTTTGCGTACAAAATTTGTACGAAAGAAATTTTCACATATTTTATCAATTACTTGCTGGTATTGACGATAATTCTGCCCGCAAATTAAAACTTGATAGACCGCAAAGTTTTAATGTTAGTAATTAAAGGAAAGTGATTGTTGTAAAAGTAATATTCTCTTAAACTTCAAATTTTGTTGCATTAAATATAGTTAATATCAAGCAAAATTATTCTTCATTTTAGTATCTCAAAAAAGGTTGCACGCAGTTTTTTCTGAGTGAAAAAAGTTGCAAACAAATGTCATCTAAGAAACGAAAATGGCTCATGGTAGGTGTCCGCAGAAGTTTGCTTTATTTTTTCATTTTACAAATATAGCAATAAGTAAGTAAAACAAATAATTTTTACATGTAATAGAAACTGTTTTAAAAATTTCAGAAGTGCTAACGAAAAATTACTCAATTTTCATTGCGAATCTCATTTTAGGATAATTTACAAGACGAATTAATTGATGATTATACGGATTTTCAAAACCTACTGAAGGCATTTAAAAGCATTAATGTTTCCATAGATGATCAAAATGGTATATTTGAACTAATAGCTGCAATTTTACACCTTGGAAATATCTGTTTCATTGACGAATCATGCGACTATAGAGGTTACAATCGTATTTAAATACTTGATCATAAATTTCTAGTCTAAATTTTAGTTAGCAATGGATTAAGCTTTGACAGTTATGAATTGACTTATTGACCTCATTTCACCTCACCTTATCAAAATAACGTAATATAACGTGAGTCGCATGATATAACGTGAAAAAAAAGGTTTTCGAATAAATTATTGTTTATATTATCTAAACTACAATAGTTTATTTATGAAACTAACAAATTAGATCTATAATTCACAATAGAATTACTTCATGATTTTTCATATGCAAATCAATCACAAATAAATTTATTAACTCGAAAACTTTACCAAAATTTTAAATTAAAAAAATTTAAAAGTTTGTTTTCATTTTATTAAAAATTTATTAAAAAATTTATTTATTAAAAAATATTGAAGATTTATCAAAAAATATTAAATTTTATTAAAAAGTTTAAAATTTTATTTCCATCACATAACATATCCCATGACAATAAACAAATTAATTTAAAAAAAAATACATTTGCTTTTTATGTTGTTAGGAGGTTGCACCGTAGCATCGCAAAGCAATGTGCATTTGCATAATGCAGCAGAATTACTCGGTATAGAAGTAAATGATTTGAGGAAACATTTGATTACTCGACTTATGCAGCCTACTAGAAGTGGAATTAAAGGAACTGTCTATGCGTTAGTTATTTGCGTTATATTTTTTATTCATTTAATTATTTATTTTGTGATTTTTCAAAAAGTTAGTCACTGTGAGAAGTTATTAGATGAAAAAATTGTATCTAGTATAGTTTTTTATCGTTTTTTCTTCTGCATTTTTGAATAGTTTCAAAGTAATTATTAACAAAACAAAATAGTTTCTTCTTTTCCTATATGCTCATTTTGATTCGTGTTTGAAATTTTCTTTGAGAATTCATTTTCGAAATTAGAGATGAAAATTGCAGTGTACCACTACGCTTGAATGAAGCACGTTTAGCTCGTGATGCTCTCGCCAAAGTTTTATACGCTTATCTATTTGATGCAATTGTTGATATAATCACAAAATGTATGCCATTTAGCAATAGTGCATGCTCGATTGGAGTATTAGATACAGCTGGTTTTGGTAATTCTTTTTTTTCCTTGCTTATACATAGCAATGCTTCAGTAAGTCTTAAATCGAATTGCAACCTTTATAAGCGTATGATTCTTAAATTACTGAAAAATTGCACTTCAGTTTTAGATGTTAAAAAGATTAACTTTTTTTTAAAATTTGAAAATTCAATAAAAATAAAATGGTTGATTAAATAAAATTAGGTAAGCAATGAAGTACTTTAGTAGATTTAAGTGCAAATAATTTGCAACAAATTTAAAGAATATGACAAGAGTTAAATAAGAAAATATGATTGAAATATAATAATAATAATTTTAAATTGTCAAATTTTTTCAAAAAACAGAAGCAATCGAATTGAATTCTTATGAACAGTTATGCATAAATTATTGCAATGAAAAATTGCAAAACTTTTTCAATGAACGAATTTTCATGGATGAACAAGATTTGTATTGCAAAGAAGGACTTCACTATGAAAGAATTGAATTTTTTGATAATAAAGCTTGCATAGGTTACGTTTGTTACTTTGCAAAATTTTTTATCTTTATTAAATCGTTATTTGTCTCCAAGAAAGAGCCTAAATATTCACAAAGAAATTTGTTGTCATTAATTAAAAAAAAAGCTGTATAAGATCTTTGGACTGACCACAAAATTTAGTGTTATTGTCTGCATTATTTAACGAACGAGTCAAAAGATGAAAGGTAAAAAAATAAGAAATAACTTTTATGTCTATTGAATAAATTTCCATCATAAAATTAAATCATGTAAAACTGTACTTGACTGTAAAAGTATGAAATACTGAGATTACAAAACATGACGTATTGTAGACTTATTTGAAGAAAAACATCGTGGCATCTTTGATTTACTTGATAATGAAGCACGTTTACCAATAAGTTCTGCTGCTCATTTCACACTAACAGTACATAAAGCTCATGGGTCTCATCCATGTTTAATGGTTCCTTTTCATTCTTCTTAACTTCTAGGTTTCCTATAGTATTAAAATACTAAAAATTTAGAACGAAACAGTCATTTATACAGCACTGTGTGGATTTTCAAAATCTGTCAATTTTCTATTCTTAATAGACTTTTATGAATTTTTTTTAATGTTAAATTTTTAGATATGAAAATTTATATCACATATATTTGGTAATAAACTCTTTATTTTATAAACTGATTAGTGAAGTTGATAATATTTAAATTGAACATCCTTGATGATATATACGTGAGATAAATTGAGATAAATTTTCATAGCCTAAAATACTACATTCAATAAAATATTCCTGACTGTAATTATTTCTTTATCATATCGTATTATGTATGCAGTCACCGCATTCGACACGGCATTTTCGTAAAATGAATGATAATGAAGGTTTTATTATTTGTCATTATGCAGCAGATGTTTGTTACAATACAACACAATTTATCGAAAAAAATAATGATAGTCTGCATTCATCCTTATATTATTTGATGCAACAAAGCAGGTTAAGTATTTTAATTATTAGAAATATTGAAAATTTCTTAGAATAATTGTCTATACCTAATGTTATTCATTGTTTTAATTTATAAGTTAAATTATTAAGAATGATTAGTTTGTCGGTAATGCATTTTACTGTTAACAGTATTTGAGTACAAGGGCATGCTAATTGTCCATCACTTTAGCTTTGTAATTTCTGCAATCAGTGCTTAAAAAATAACTAGATTTATTATCAAAACTCACATTTATCTTTTAAACTCAAATAATATAGTTAACAAAATGCTCATATCTTGCAGGAAAAGTATAATTTGTAAACTATTTGATGGAAAAGTTTCAAACGTTGCTAACCAAGACGTGCCACGTAGAAAATTAGTGAATGCATCAGTTGCGAGCAAATTTCGCTCACAACTCAGTGCTTTACTTGAAAAATTACGTCAAACGGTATATTATGAAAATGATATAGTTTTGATAGTAAGATGATAAAAATAGTGCAAAAAAAAAACAAATAATAATAGTTGTGCAAGTTTTCCTTTTGATATATGTTTATAAATACTTTAATATAATTTGATATAATAAAAATCTAAGAAATGATAAAGTACTGTACTGCAAAAATCCTATAGAGATTTTTGTAGAGAACTCATTTTGTGCGATGCATTAAACCAAATGACGAGATGAAATCGGGCAAGTTTGATGGGGGCAGGGTTTTAGTGCAACTGAAATGTGCTGGAATGTCAAGTGCTCTGAAAGTAATGCAGAACGGTTTTCCATCAAGGTTACTTTGTTGTTTTATGGCTTATTCATAAATTTGAATAATTTAAAATTTATGTAAAAGATGAATTCATTTGTTTTAAAGTATTTGATTTTACTTAGAGTTCAAACATTTACTATTATTTCATTTAATTGTAATTACAAATTAATTCAAATTAGCAAAATTCATTTAACTGTTTTTTTTTTTTTTGATGAAGCTGTTTTAATTTAATGAAAATGAAACATTCATATTTTCATGCTGGAAATTTTTTAAATAAAAAATTGTCCTAAATTTTTTAGATCAGACAAACAGTTTATAAATGTTGCAAATTCATACTTGCATACGGTGTTATTCACTTTAAAAAATTGTTTTAATGTTTGAAATATTCCAAAGTGAATGAATATTTATCAAATGTCTTAGATTCGAATTTTTTTAATTTCCTCAAGAAAGTCTGGAGAAATGTAATATTATTATTATTGTGCCTGTATAGAATAAGTTGTAAGTCGATACATCAGCTATATCAATATCATTTACCACGAAGATTAGCAAATCTCGATGCCCAACTACTTTGCAAGGTTGATGTATTTTTTAATTAACTCAAAGATTAGCAAAATTTGAAACTTTACTTTATATTGCATAAAAAATATGTATTTTGTTAAAGTAATTAAAAGAAAAAGTATGATGGAAATCGTAATGCTACGAAATATCATGTAGTTTAGCAGTAAATACATTAAGTGAGTTTTGTTTTTAAAAGCAATTTTTAAATCTCTCAACTTTTTCATACCGAATCCGAAATATTTATTTTTCATGCTTTCAGTGCTTATTTCAAATGGTCGGTTTGAGTAACAAAGATTATAGATTTGGTTTGACAATGATATTTTTTAGAAATGGAAAATTTGCTGAGTTAGACAAGGTACTCATTAACAACCAAACAGATAACTGTCTTGAAAAAAAGAATAATAAAAGCTTGAACTATCGCCAAAAGATTCTTCCTACGAGACAATTAAATGTGCAAATATTGAATACTATTGTGTTTAAGAAATTAATTTGTGCTATTTTCAGATTTTACAGAAAGATAGAGTAATAACAGAAAAGTTAGTTATGTCTATATCTTCTTGGTTATCTCGATATAGATTCAAGAAAGCACAGTTTGCAGTTGTAACATTAGTGAAAAGTTAGTAATTAGATCAATTTAGTCATTTAAAATTTTTATTCTTCTAATAATAAATGATTTTAATGTCTTAGTGTATTCAAGCTAAATTTGCATATTTTAAGTTCTAAGGCTACTAGCATACAGGGCCAAATGTCGAATCAAAGTTCAAAATGCTGTCCGCAGTTATTTAACACGCAAATTATATCAACCAAAGTAATACAAGTTTGCTGAATTATTTTAAATATTTTAATCACTTTCCTATTAATTCTTTTTGCTAGCAAAGTTTATCGTAATTAATGCAAAATGAATTTCATCGAATACTCTTTGAATATCTGCTCGTTTCTGGTATTAACTAAGATAGTTAAAAATTGATGCTGTATCCTCCGGCAGTCCAATAATAAAAATTTTAGGATAAAACTGCTACTGAATTTATCAGCTTTATCTGCCAAGATCGATTTCGATCGTTCGGTACTTGATAAACTAGACCCGGAAAATTCGATAAAATGGAAAGCTACTGTTGAAAGTTTGGAAAAAAGAATGGAGGAACTTAGATACCAAATTAAAGTAAATTTTGACCTTACTTATCATCAATATTATATTACCTTACTTATTATCAATATTATTATTCTATCTGTATACAACTGCGTCTAACCCTTACTTTTCAATGCATGAAAAATATCACAGAACGATCTATTTTATTGTTGGCTGAGTCAGTTATACTGTTTGAGTTCATAAAAAATCACTGCACTCTATCATTTTCTAGAAAATGCGGAATATAACGATAACAGATCAAGCTGAAGAATGCAGCGCTCTAGAACATGTTGCATGTGAAGAGATCGCAGAGTTGAAGTAAAGTCGTTATACTTCGCAGTCATTTTTTAAGTAATGAAAACGTGCGCACACTTATCGACTACTACCGTTTTGGATTAAAATTAATTCGTTGAAAACATGGAGAAATCTTGAGAAAAAGGCTATTTAATGCAGTCATAGCAGCGAGATTTAGTTTCCTTTTAATGCATTGTTGTTAGCAAGTAAAGTACAGCAAATAAAACTGCTGCATATCACAGTGAGATCAGATAAATAAATCTCTCAGAGATCAGATTCTCACTGCTGCTGAAATGCAGCACATATTTTTGCCATCACTTTGCGTTAAGGGAAAAGTATTTGGCTATGACAGAAGCAATAAGCTTACCAAAGTACTCAGCTAGATGAGAGTGCTGCGCAGTTTTCATAAAATGTAAATTTGGAAACAAATTCTCAGAGACTGCCATCCACACATTTATTTAGTACGAAAATGAGTCGCTAAGCGACGCAATAAAAAGTAATGAGAAAATTCAAAACATTGAGGGATTTGAATTCGTAGTAATGTGTGAATACTTTTTCGTACTTTTTTTTTGATCGCTTTGCTTTTACAGAGAACGAGCTCTTTGTAAAGACGAGATAAGAAAGCGAAAGAATGAATCCGCAGAAAATTCGGTGGATTTCGTCGAAAATGAAAGTCTAAAAAATAGTCAATTTTTGTAAGGATTGGTTTGCAATTTTTTCAGAGATTTTTAGAATTTGTCATTTCATAGAATTTGATAAGTAACGCAAAGAGTCATGAGACGGATGCATACGCTTTTATACATACCCAGAAAAAGTTATTGCTGTAATGAATAAAATTTTAGGGAAGATGCAAGATTTGCTGATTTGGCAAAGTGGCAATATGAGAGCATTACGGCTGGCATCAATTCTGCTGGTAAAATAATAAAGTGTTGTGATTTGATCTGCAAATATTCAAAAAATTTTGAAATGAAAAATGTTTAAATATCGTTTTGCTCTATGTGTATAGTAAACATTTTAGCGCAAGTACTGAGAAGAAATTATCTTTTTGTACTCGAAAAAAGATGCTTAGGGAAGTAAGTTGCATTTAGGCACGTGAAAAGTATTAACAGTGATATTGCTTTATTAAGATTCAAAGTTGTCAATAGCGTGCAAAGCCGAGTATTATCGCCGCATGAGAGCTTATACTGAATGGAAAGAACGAAATATGGCTTCGAAAGTATCAGAATGTGCAATGAAAAAACGTGAGGACGAAGGTGCAATGATTTACATCAATTCCTTATTGAAAGTCTTCAATTTCTTAATATTTTTTCAAAAGTATTAAAAAGACGATTTCAGTTGCAATTATAATCAGAATTGAAATTATTGACTGCAGTTACAACTGCATTTATGCTTAATATGTAAAATACAATTTTACGGGCACACAGTACTCAGTTTCAGCTTACAAAGGATACCATAAGGACAATTCAATAGTTACAACTTTGCAATAGTATTTCCCTTGTGAAAGTCAATGTAAAAAGTTTTCAGAAGCGTGTTACATGCGAAGTGCCTCAAACAGTTACTATAGACTTGCTGTTTCTAGTCTCACAAGTCATGAGAAGGAACTTTTCAGTGAGTTTTTGATGAACTTCAATACTGATGCTTGAAGATTTAATAACACCACAAGTACATAATGCAAAGTTCGCTAGTTTTATGTAAAATTTATGCATATTTTCCGCGAACGTCGGCACATTCAAATTTAGAGCAGTTTAAGATGCGTTAGATGCGTTACGTTGTTCAGATGAAACTCTCATAATGCAGTTTTTTCTTTGGGGCAGAAAGACATTATTTGTTGGTGTTTAGTTTTTGAGGAGAAAGTTTTGTCGCTTTTTTCATCAAGCACTGATGACAAAACTTTACGTACGAGGGATTGTAAAATACAAGGCATTAATGTGCTACGAAATTGCCTAATATAGCTTTCGATTCATATTTAGTCTTGACCATTTTATATCAATGATATCATTTTTAGTGTAAAATATTTTCAATTCAGGACAAACCTCGGTTTATATTTTAGGAATTGAAAATGACAGTCAGTTCACTGTATGGTATGGTCATTTTGAACGTGGAGAGATCGCTCGTCAAGTAGAAATCTCTCCAAACGCCAAGCCAACTTTTGGCGATTGTGGTAAAGTTTTTTGTTATCAGTAGTTATTCAATTTGTACATATTTCAAAATTTGAATATCAAACAGTGATATATCTCAAAGACACATTCACTGTGTTATCATACTTTTTATGGCATTGTGATCATTCACTTGTACAACTTTTGCAGTGCCCCCATTTTTGCTCTGCAGTTTTTGCATGGCTGGCGTAATTTGCATAGACTGGTCGTAATTTGTGTTCTTCACTGTTTTTACTATCGGTGAGCGTTATTAAGTTTGTGGAAGTTTCTTTTGAGTAAGGCAGTTAATACTTCTCAACTTTTAATTGGTTTAGTTCATATAGTATAAAGCTATATTCGATGGAACTTCATTAACTTATAAAGTTTGTGTTGTGAAAATATTCGATCAGTGTGGTATCAGAATGATTCCTTAAGTGATATCATATCGCTCACAAGTTTCTATTTCTTGAAATCTATGCAGCAGTATTGAGTCGAATGCTTTTTTGATTCACATTTACTGCATTCAGGAGTTATGAGTTCAATGCATAAAAAAGCTGTGGTTGGTTTTCGCGAAGGATTATTTTTGCTTTTATTTTTCGTTTTATTACGCAACTCGTCAGCAGTCACTTTCGTTGATTGTTTTCAGCGCTTCAATTATACAGGTTGTTCACATTAAAAATTTTTTCAACCGTCGTTTTTTTATTCGTTATAACCATCGGAAGTTTCTACTGTTTATTAATATGAAATCCTATATTCAGTTAAGCATTGCATTGTTAATGCCAAAAAAATCAAAGGGAGATTTTTTTCCCTAGTGAAAAACATGGAGTTATTCAGCATAAAAGTTGTTATGGAAGTTTTATTGTAATTTGTTTTTCATTTCTTCACATAATAATGACTTTATTTAATTAAAGATTTTTCAACTGGTGGTTACACGGATAAATTAGAAGACTGCGTTTACTATTTTTTGTATCATAATACGAAGGCGAATTATGGGGATCCTCATTTGTTAGTTTGATTTCAGTTTGTTTTAGTGTGTTAACTTGTGATTAAAAATTGTAAGGAAGTTGTGTAATAATTAGTTAACTAATATCATTCTTCCAATTCTTCCAGAAATAATTACAGAATACTTGTTGATTATTTTTATGTATATTGGAAATAGCTAATGAATAAAATGCACTTGTATTAGTCAAAGTCTATATTTTAAGGTTATATCTGGAGGAACCTCCTACAGGTCATGATGCATTTAACATTACTGTCAAAGGCGTAATTGTAAGACGAGTCGAATTGGTGGGTCTAATTTTCTTCTTTCCTTCTCAGAAAATATTTTAAATCATATTTTCAGTCCAGTATTTAATTTAACTTATGAACTTTAATTTAGTATGTTTTTTGTGATTTTTAATTTGATATTTATTCTTATTACAGGTGCAAAAACTTTCATCACAATTCAGTATTTACGGGGATATATATTTGGTTTGTTATTGATACTTGGAAACAATCATAAGTTTTTAAGAAAACTCATAGCTACTGATTCCTAGAGAGTTTAGTTATAGAATATTGACTGAAGAATAAGACTTCTCAGGAGTGTTTCTGTTTCTTGAAATTTTTTTCATAAATTTTATATTTCAAAGTTGCCAAAAATAGTTCTTTTTTTATTGAGATGCTGTGCAACAACATTGATAATTTTATTTCATCATTATATTCATGATTGATACAAATTCAGTCATGGGAAGATGAGCGTTTAAAATGGGATGAAATAGAGTGGAAAGTTGATGAATACACATTGCATGATGATCATCATATTTGGAAACCGATCATTAGTGAGGAGTATTTTTCAAGGTTGGTATGATTTAATTTTTTTAATCTATGTGCAGTACTAATGCTTCATTGTTAATAATAAATTTACATGGAATGTGAGCTTTTTTAATTTATACTAATCAAGAAACATTGTTACTTGGTTGCTGTAGTTATTATGACGTAAGTTTTATTGAACTGTTGGAATGGATTCATGCCGCTTCTTTGCAGAAAGTGCATAATGATTTAGCATATTTTTCTGTTTTTCCTTTTGATAATGCATTTTAAGCTCTGCAATAAATTGAAACATTTTTGTTGGTCAATTGTTATTCACAATTTCACCTGTTCTAATTAGTTTTTAAGCATCGTATTGATTGATAGGATATACAAAATATTATAGAAATAAAAAACTATGCTTAGTCATTATAATGTTTAAGGGAGTGCAATGAAGCTCAAGGTTGCTATTCGACAGTACATGAAATTGACATATATTCAAGTGGCAAAGTTATGGCGTTATATTCGTTCCGTTACCCTGCTTTTTGTAACACTGATTACTACAAGTGCATTTTATTTATAGCTCACAATCTACATTTCATTCCTTCAAATGAGTACTATTCGTCTCCATTACGCGTGATGAGGATTAATATTTTTTCTGATCGTTACATTATATAGATGATTTCCAGATATCCGGAAGAAGAAAATGATTGCTGTTTATATTTCTCGATCGGTTTCAGTCGAAAACTTCGTTTTGTTATGAAAGTTGAAGGTAAAACTGCCGTATCACAAGTTGTCAAAATGAAAGTCTCACCTTATGGACACAACAGTTCTGTAGATGAGCATTCTACGTGGAGGTTGGAGGTATATATTTTCATTTCTGCAATTTTTTTTTTTTTTT